TCAGTGCATATTTTTTTAGGCAAAAATTAGAGTTTAGAATGTAAAATCACGTTTACTTTTACATATAATCTCAATCAAAGCTCGTTCGTTAATCACTCCGCTTACGTTTATGAGCCTTCAAATTTGTTGTGCTTGTTTTACTCCCGACGCAAGAAAAAGTTAAATATCATCCTTGTGCGACTATGATCAACTTTTTTTTCCTGGTAATTTAAACAACTTAAAAATATTTTAACTTAATATTTTGTTAAAAATACATTTAGAAATGTCTTTCCCTTAGAAGCGTCAAGTTTTTTTTTTTTACTTTCAAATTTCACATTTATCCTCTTCGCAAAGATAAACGATAAAATTAAGTTCAACTCCGAAATGTTATCGCTTTAATCTGAGATTATTTTGTAATTACGGATTAACTTGGCAGGAATTTTCTATTGCATTTTTTAAATTTCAGATTAGGAAGTTGAGCTCGGAAATTTCAATGACCATATACTGTAAAAAGGTTTTAAGGACATAAAGCTTCTCTACTTCGGATTCACTTGTATGTAAACTTAAATATTTAAAAGCCGTTTTCGATAAAAATAAAATCTTCGGTAAAGGATGATCTTCACATGGAATCACCCATATATACATACATACAGACATATATGTATGTGTGCCAAATTATACAGCTACTGGTGGTAATCGTGGCTATTGCGGCACTGATTTGCTTAGAGTTGTTCGTTGTCTGTGCAAATGGGATCGAGATTCTTATTTCCACTAAATAGCCACTTGGTTTGAGTTAATTGCGTTTTATTTTTTTTTTTCTTGTTGATGCAGTATTGTTCTTACTCCAATATTAATTTAACGGTAGCGTGTTTAGATATGTGGTGAACGGATCATGAACGTTTAGCCGTACGGTCTGTTTGTTATCTCGGAGCCAGCTAAAAGCAATCTGAAATTGTGGTAGATTGCAATATTATTAACTTCTGAGTGAAAAATTAATTCAGTGCATGCCACAAATATGTAGCTGTGTCTATTTTCTTGAATTGTTTGAGTTTGCGGCACTCGCCGTAGGTCGCTCTCTCACGAACTTTTTTTTTTTTCTTTTTTGCTAATCCAACCTGGTTTTGTATCTTCTGGCTATTAGTACTTGGTTTGTTGCAAACAAGCATACATATACATACATACATACATATGTATCAGCGCACATATTGCATGCACACTTGACTGACGGCCATACGCTGTTGGCCATTAGGCTGACCGCAACATTGACTTATTGCCGTTCTTTGGTCATTTCAGGTATTCACTCGTTAGTTACTCGTTTTTCTTGTTCCACTATTTATAACAGCAAGTGGATGCAACTCGATTTGTGGAGATAGCTAAGAAAAATTTAACTATCATTAAGTGCGCACATAACAGCATGGAAACCATATACATTTGTACTTATTTACAAACTGATTTATACATACATACATATACATATATGTAGACCATACATGCGCCTATCAAGGATTAGTGCCATATGTCTACTTGTGAAAAATAAAATAAAATACCTCAAATTGGTCACACTATTGAAAATGTATAAAAGCCTCGTGCAGGCGGTTCAGTAATTTTTAATTAATATGAAAATAAAGATTACCTTCATAATACGCACACTCGAAAATAAATATTTTTCACACTTTAGCTCTGATCCACTTACTTTTCATGTAAAATCCTGTAAAAATGTCAAACAGCAAAATTACTCTCCGAAGTGAGAGTAAAAAGTAAGTATCAACAAAAAAGACGGGTGCAAAAAAAGCGTTTTTCCTGTAAAAACGTCAACCAGTGAGTGATCGGTTGACACTTTTCAAAATTTTACCAGAAGAAAAAGTTCGGGTAAAATCTTGCAATTTCATTCTCTACACAACTCTCAAAAAATCGCTCTCGTTTAGAGGATTTTGGATTACGGGATTATTTTCCCTGTAACTTCCTGCAAGTTCGTGTAAAAACCTGTTCATTGTGTCTTTGAAAACCCAAGATATTTGTACCCTGTAAACATTCGGACTCATTTTAGAGTCAGAAAAGTCTCAGAATTCTGAGTGTAACCCTCATTATGGGGTCAAAAAAAAAAGTCAGAATAGTACATATTTCCCTTCTTAGAAGGGCACGCCAATATGAGCCCAAGTTAGGGGTCATATTAGGGTCTGCAATATGACTCTTTCTGAGTGTTAAAAACAAATATTCTTTATAGTTTTGTTTATTAATAAACTTTTACTTCTACGTGAACTTTGTTAGTTTTGTTCAACTCAGAACTTATGACACCAAAAGAGTCCGGAAAGAGTCAGTCTAATTGACTGGTCTCAGACTCATATCTATGACGAAAGAAATACTCATTTCAGACTCAGAAAATTGTCTAAAGGGCAGAAGTCCAAAAAAGTGAAGGAGCGAGGTATGTATGTATGTACATTTAAGTATATGCGAGCACGATTTGGTAACTATAACCAAATAATGTAACTATTTATAATCAAATCAACTGTTCATAGAAACATATTTAGTTAGTGTAGTTAGAGATTTAGTGTTCTAAAGCTTTTTTGTAGGAAATTGAAATTTTTCTGGAGCTCTGGCTATTTACGAGATAGTGGTAAAAGAAAATAGTCGCCAAAAAAGCACACCCTAATGTGTATGCCTGAGTATTTTATTAATCTTAATTTTAATAGAAAGCTTTAGGGTATTTAAAATCCAAACGTAACGGTACGAGTCTGCGTACAAAAATATGTCGCGGGGGATTTAAATGAAATCTACACATTTTCTTTGTACTTATTTTGCCTTTCTGTTTTTCTAAGTTGTAACAATTTTTTTCTTTTGCCTTTTGCAGTATGTTGAATCAACGAAAGCTGCACGCTTACCTGCTATTGTCCATAGTTGCCACTAATTGCCTACTCCTCACTTACGCTTACCCTCAAAATGAAGTTTACCAGCGTCAGCGTTTGCAGCAAGTACAACAGTCACAGCAGCAGCAATCGCCCGTTTATCGACCGGCGGAAGAGTTCTCTGGCCGCAAGTATGCCGTGAAACCGAACGCTTCGAAGAAAGTGGCGCTGGATGATGTGGAGGATGAAGGCGACGTAGTCAATCAGATAACCGAGACGCCCACCGGCTTTTCGTGGTCCAACATGCTGTCCACTGTTTTGACGATGTTCTTCAACGGACCAGCAAACGCGCCCACCAAATCGGACGATGTGGATAACTCAGTCGGTTTCGGCGGATCACCCTGGGCCAATGTAATCTCGATGGGTAAGTGTTGAGGAAACAGAAAAAATATGAATAAAGTTGATCTAATCTCACATACTTTATTAGGCTTAAAGATCATCAACACACTGCTGGGTGGTGGCGCTCCCAGCGACGGTATCGACAAGGTAGACAATGGTGGCTCACCAATGCAGGTACGAAGAAGTTTTCTATAAACGCAGGTTAGATGTTTCTTGGTAGAAAATTTGATTGCACTTCATTCAATCCTACAGTAACTTAATCGTGTAGTGTAAATATCCTATTAGTTTTAACTATTTTTAAACTAATTGTAATGCTTCTAAATGCTTTGCCGCTCAAAATTTGTGTTAGCTAAGAGAAGAGGGAGAAAAATAGGTGGTAGGTAATATTTGTTTGTTTGAAATATACGTACAGTGACGAACAAAAGTATTGGCGCAGTGAAATTTTCCCAATATATGAAAAATTTTTTTGTTCTTATTTATTATTGATAATTAAAAAAAAAAAAATATCGTTCATATTATACCACAAAACATAAAAATAAAATCTCTCAACTTTGTGCAAAACTCAGGAAAGTTCAACAAATTTGTATAGATACTAATTTGCAAGTTTCTATTCAGATTTGGAGTTGCTAGAAAATCGATTTGATTTTAATGAGCTGTACAACTGCATACCTAGAATTTTTCTAAAAAATCTGGATAGAAAGTTGCAAATTAGTATGTACTCAAATTTACTGAATTTTCCTCAGCTTTGCACAAAATGTAGGGATTATTTTTAGTGTAGTATCAACTATATTTTTATAAAAAATTATCGAAAATAAATGCAAATAAAAAACTTTGCAGATATTGCGAAAATTTCGCTGTGCCTATACTTTCGTTCGTTACTGTAATTATGTATGTATATTATTAATTGATACTTTATTCCTGTTGATATGGAATTTGTTTAAATTTTTGGTGCAAATAATGATTTGAGCAAAATAAAATACACATGCAGAAATTTTATTAGTAAGATAAATTAATTGACGAAAAAATTGTTGAAACGGAGAAAATAGGAACCGGGTGCTCAGTGCTTGTATTATGACTAAAAAATATTCAATAGTATGCAATTTCATATCAAGTAAAAGTTTTTCAAATTGCCCAAAATTAGTTCTCTGCAGTTCATCCAGCTTCAATTTTGGGTTTTGCTTTGATTTATTTTCATTAACCTCATTTGTGCTTATCCCCAGTAATCTGTTGACATAAAAGTTTTTAATTGAAAATCCTCTTCTTTTTTTGTTATTCTACCATTATTGTTGTTGTTCTTGTACAATTCAAATCGATACGTAAAATTTGAAAAAATATCTCAAACTGATTGGTGTGTGGAATTATTGGTTTTGTGTGGTTTCTCGCTTGCAACAGAACATCTTAGCTGCTGTGCTGTCATCAGTGCTTGGCACCAGAGATCCCGATCAAGTCAATTCGATGGCGAAACAAGCTGGAGAGGTAAACGATACATTTGATGAAATACTACATCTTAAAAGAAATTACAAAAAAAAAAAAAAAAATAAAATTAAACTAAAAAGCGAAGTACTTACATATACTTAAAATGTAGATATATGCGGCATAGAAATGAATAAATCCATATTTTGCTAATTAAAACAAAAAAAAAATAAAAAATACAACATATTTGTACAAATGCATACACTACTTCGATTTTGCACTGACATGCAATTACACACACGTACATACATATGTAATTATAACAGTTACTTATAACTGGTAATATTATACACTCCCCGTTTTGATTGCCACATTCCTTTCCTTCATTTTTTTTTTTTGTGCTCATTTATGCTTTGGCGCTGCTTGCAAAATCAATTCCCTCCTCATCTAACACTCCTCCATAGTAATTCTATGTACTTAGTCATATTCGCACACGCACACACTAAGGAACTTTTGCTATCAACAAAAAGATTTCATTAAATCCAGTAAATTTCTAATTTTGTATATATATTCTCTTCTTCTTTGTTTTTAATAAATATTGCCTTCGTCAGTTCATTCAAATCGTGATGAATCTGTTGGACGCACTGAAGACTTCATTCTCGCATCGGTCGTTGACCGCCCGTTCGATGGGCAAGCGCGATTCAGTGAGTGACGCCACCGTTGCCGGTCTCTCGCTGTTGAAGGGCTACGTGCGCACCTACCGCAACGCGGACGACAAGTGCATGCAGCGCTACATTTGCGAGGCCAACACGGAATGCGTGCGTGAAATCGGCGGCGCAAGCATCTTCTGCCAACTGGGATCGTAAGTATTGCGCAATTAGCAAAATGTGCAAGCAATCCACATTGCCAGCCACAGCTAATGATTGCCAATTCCAATTGCATTCACAGGTACGCGACCAGCTACTTCCTGGATCGCACCAGCGATGGGCACTTCGAGCAATTGTACGACGCCGGGCGTAGAGGGCGTTCCGGTTACGACTGTCAACAACTGTTTCTTGAGTGCAATGAGGTTTAGAAGCAGCATGCTGATTCCTGCGATATTTGGACGCAGACTTATTAACGACTGGACTCTTGGTTTAGGCTGTAACTCAGCCGGATGACAATAGGGAAACACAAACACATACATACATACTTACATATAAACCCGTTAGATAAAGAAATAAGTTATTTTAGTTGGCACACACGAGTATCTCTATTTGGTTTCGCGTTAAGAATAGTTTACAAATTATGAATTATTTATTTATTTTTTTTTGTGCGACAAAGCAGAATTACAAGTGTCTTCTTACACACTCGTGCAAAATTAGGTTAGGCGAAAAATTAATGAATAAAGAAAATATAAAACAATTCAAAAAATGCGTAATAACATTCCGTCCGTTATCTACTTAAGCAGTACGGACGGGCAACGAGAGCTACGGAGCTTGAATAAAGGAATGGATTCTATGATTTCAGCTTTTTTGGTGTCTAGAAGTCGCTGTGCTTTTACTCCGAAAGCTCGAATTTCCCGTATGGTTTCATATTGCCAAAGCTCAACATTTCCGCTTTGGCATAAGCAGAGTCAACTTTATACATACACCTCGCTAAAAGCTTTTCAACTGTACTTCACCATGCTTGCAGACATTTTTAAATTTGCGTCAAGCATGCCGGGTGAGGGTGCGAAAGCTTATAGTAAAATACAAAGCCCAGTGCTGCCATTTTTGAAAATTTTATCCAAAATGAAAATCCGTTCCCCAAATTTAATTTTAAATTACATTTTTCCCGACTGTACTCAAATAAAATAATCACTAAAAAAACTGTATTTTGTCTTTTTAATCCCTTTGGCGATCGGGGCTCGTTATTTCAATAAATTTTTAACAACTTTTTAATTGAAGTACCATGAAAAAGATGCTTCCCCGATCAAAAATTTTGACTTTCTTTATAGCATTTTAGGTCGACACGTGGTCATCGTCAACGGTCTTATCTTTGTACATATTTCTAATCGCCTACAAAATAACTGCCGCTGTGGTGTAGTGATTAGCAGTGCGCGCTACCACTCCGCAGGGCCTGGGTTCAAGCCCAGGTCAGAGCAACATCGCAAAAAAATATAGAAAAAGGGTATTTTTGACAGCGGTCATCCTCTGCAGGCAATGGCAAACTTACGAGTGTATTTCTGCCATGAAAAACAGCTTCCCATAAAAACACAATCGCCGTTCGGAGTCGGCGTAAAACTGTAGGTCCCTCCTCTTTGTATGACAACATCAAGACGCACGCCACAAGGAGAAGCTCGGCCAAGTTCAAATTATTCCTCGTGCAACTGGAACTGAAAAAACCCAAATCGTTTTCGAGAAATAATTTCAACAGCATGGTAGCACCGGGGCGAAATACGGTACAGGACGGTAGAAGGTTTAGTTCGGGTTAAAGTCCTAGGCTTTCGATGCCTCCTCCTCGTAACCTCGTTTCTTTTATTTACAATCTCGGACGAATGAGGCTCAAAATTGGCGACTCCACAGTTCTAAAGCATGGACAATGTTCACTGGACAATGTATTGCTTCTTAAAGTCTAGATAATATTATTATTCTTTATTAATTTTTATACTTTCCGTGGCACATCTATGAGGTAAATAATAATTTTGCTATATCCGAATCAAAAGACCGAAGAAATAAAATGCATATTTTCATGGGACATTTGGGTGGTTCACAAGGTGTCGTACTAGTCGTATTGTTGTATGTTGTAAAGTTTTTAAGGGCTAAATAAATGTTTAGATAACTTGAAATCACCACCAACTATTTTTTAATTGTGTCAAATTTCATAATAAAACTTTTATGTTAGCTTGCGAATCCCTTAAATATAGTTTTAGCCGTTTAAAGTTTATGACATACAAGTTTATGACATACGATAGTATACAACACCTTGTGAACTCCCTAATTGTTTTGTAGAAAACCACTTTAGTACGTGTGTTTCACTATTACACACATATATACATATGTAGAGTAAGTTGCTATTGTAGTTTTTGTCATGAGTGTGAAAATCAAAAATAGCCCTAAACGTTCCCCAGTTAGGTTATTAATGAAGAGCTGCGAATGCCAGATTAATCAGCTTAAATAACTATATTAAAACTTTGTAGGCATTTATTAATTTTCATTTAACCATAACAGCTCTCGAATTTGCTTTCATCTTCCTATTTGCTGCCATTCAAGCATCCTACATTTTTACCTAAAACATATGTATGGCGATGGTCAAGCAAGGTGGTGAAGAAAACATTTCTAACGAATCCTATTGAAAATACCACCAATTACTGGTTGAAGCCGAAAAAGTGTCATTTGCTGAACTAAACTAAAGTGAAGCAAAAAATGCGAATAGTTCACTTTTTGCCGTTGCAATATTTGAAAGCAAA